TGACATAATACACCCAAGAATCAGCTTCATTTCCTTTCCTGTCTTGTGTTCTTTGCTGCAGCTCTGTTTCCTTCTCTTTGCCCACATCTCTGGCAGACCCTAAAGCCTTCTGGATACTTTCAGATATTAAAATAGTCTTGAAGGGCTCTTTCCAAATCAAACATCATTGTTCATCTAGTGAAAATAACTTCCCTTCTCCTTCGCTCAGTCTCGATCCATGACTTGGTCATCAACGGTGGGGAAATAATGGGGGGGTAAGATCTGTTTTTTAATTCTTCTTGCTCCACTTTTTCATCCTCAATCTCCTCCTGGCTCCAATCATAGTCAGAGGTCGGGAAGGCGGATAAGAAAGAATGAAGTGGAAAGTCTCTTTAAAGAGCCAGAAGAATTTGTCATTTTCTCAGGGATGTCAAATGTCTTCTGTCCTGGCAGAGGTGCTTGTGGATGGGCTCCTTCATTGACACATTGATTGGCTTTTGGAGAGGCCCTGCAGAGAGCTTCACATGGTACCCATGACCCCTGAAATGTGTTTGGCTCTTGGCAAAATATTTTGTACAGCCCTTTCCTCCCCTGCCTACTTACCCCCGCCCCCCTATACCCTCAGTGAGAATGGACCTGTTATCATCTTTACATAGGAATTGATCTGATAAGTGACACAGTCCCTTTCTGAATGGAGGGGACATTTGTACCAGCTCCAATCCCACCTTTGTTGGCCCTTAGCTCTCCATTCCCAGTGTGAGTGATGCTCTTTGCAGTTGATCTTTCATGATTTTTCTCAGGCTCCTGTCCTCTCAGTAACTTCTCCCCACCCCGCCATCTGCTTCTCCTCCTGGGATCCTGTCTTCCTGGCAGGCAGCTCTCTTGTCTCTAGCCTTGCCCATTTCTGGATACCCATTTGGTCCACAAAATAAGAACAAAAACACCTGTGTCCTGCCAAATTGTAGTAGGGCTTCCCCCTCCTCTCCTACCCATCTCTCCTTACTCCACCATTGAGGCACTCCCATCAGCCTCTTGCTTTCAGACCCCTTGGGCAAGAGGCTCCAGTTTTCACATACCCTAGATTCCTGGGGGTGTGAGTCAAACTTCCCCAGAGCTTCTGATCTCTGTTCTGACACCAGCCTGGAGCAGATTGAAGAGTGTTTGCAGCTCAGCCAATAAACCACTGGGAATGAGGTTCCTGACTCCTCTCTACAGTACACAACCTCAATTTCTGTGAGTGGTTTCCTGGGCATCTCCGAAAGTATGGAAGCACCCCTTCTCTTTCCTAATAGGCAGGGGTATCATCTTAGCACATCTACCAGGCTGTCACCCCTGTCTCTCTCACCCGATTGCTGTGCCAGGTTGGCCCCTCTTTCTTATAAAGCCCTATAGGGACGTGGCACTGCATGTGGCCACTTATCATTCATTGCTCTCAGAGACTGAAACTCAAAGATTGCAAGAGAGCTGCCTGCCAGGAAGAGGGGATCCTGGCAGGAGGAGTAGACGTGTGGGGAGAGAAGTTACTGAAAAGAGCATTGCTCACACCAGGAATAGAGAGATAAGGGCAGGAAAGAGCATTGCTCACACCAGGAATAGAGAGATAAGGGCCAGCAGGGATGGGCTTGAAGGGGCACAATTGCCCCACACAATATCCTCATGGCAGAGAAATTGCCATGTGTTCACCTAACTGTTTGCTTTGCTCCTAGACACACAGGGAAACTCAATTCACAGCTTCCCCTGTGGTTGGATTGGGCCATTGACTAAACTCTGGCCAACGAAATGTGAGTAGAAGTGAGACATGCCACTTTCTGGTGTAGCCAATAAATCCTTTTATGCTCAACTCTATTCTAATTTTCTGTTCTGTGGTTGATAATGGCAGCGCAAACAATGGAAGGAACCTGGGTCCCCGAATGTCTAGATGAAGAGCTTCCTTGTCCTCAGCCCCACTTAGGATGGCTGGACACAGACATAAGGGAAACTGATGAAAAAGTGTTAGCCACTGAGATGTTTTTGTATTGTTGGTGGTGATAGTGGTTTTCTTTCGTATGTTTTAAACTGCAATTAGCCTTTGATGACTAATCAATTCTTTTATCCAACTATTTATGAATTAGCTCATAATGGCTCAGCATTAGCCAGTTTTACTTAGTGGACAAGTAAGAAACTAGAGCAATCTTCGTGAAGGGCAATTTGAGAATTTATATCAATAGCCCTCCTCACATTTATGTTCTCTGGCTCAGTAATTCAACTTCTGATCAGGAAATACCAGAAATGTCCATAAAGGTGTATATGAGGAGGCTCATTACAGTGTTGTTTTATTTGCATTTAAAAGACAATCTAAATGTCTAACAAAAGGGAGCCAGTCAAATGGAGTATAATAAAGCCACATGACAGAGTTTTAGACTGTCATATAAATCATATTTAAAAGAATATTTTTATCACATAGAGAAATGATGTTCTGTAAAAGAAACAGATAACAATAGCATCAAATGTATTATAAAAATAGATTGAAAATTGCAAGGATATATACATAGAAATACAATAAGATTTCATTTGGTAATGAAATATACCAAATGTTATCAGAAAATAGCTCTAAATGTTAGGATTTTAGGTGGTTTATGTATTTTCTTTTATATTTCTCTGTTTTTCTTTTTCTTTTTCTTTTTTTTTGGCTATAATAAACACATGTTGTTTTTATTACTTGAAAAAAATTTTCTGATATACAAAAGTTCTAATCAAGCTTAATTTATTCCTGATATTTTAAAATTTAGGGCCAGGAGTTATTTATAGATTTTTTTTTAAAGTCAGAGAAATTAGAGAAAAACCTTCCCCATCTTCTTTATGCCAATCTTAAATGAATTTGCAAAGTGCTATTTTATTCTAAGGCCCAAGCGAGCAAGCAGACCTAGGGCTTGCTGGTTTAAGAGTGCCGAATGCCTGGACCGTTCTGACAAAAGTGAGGCATCCCTGCCTGATGCAGAGTTTTCAGCCATGGCTACCCAAAAGAACCTCCCAGAAACTCTCCGATTTATTGAGCTGGGGTGGGGCCTTGGCATTTATATATTTTACATGTGTGTCAGTTATTCTCATGTGCAGCCGAGTTGGAACCACTGGTCCAATAGCGTGCGCCTGGAACGCAGGGCCATTGGACCTAGGTGGCTGTTTTTCTTGGTAATCGGCTGTGTTATCCTGGGCGAGTTGCTCAACCTTTTACGTTCCAATATCCTTCTCCTTAAGCAGGAGCATTAATATCTGTCTGCCCTATCTCCCAGGGGTATTTGAGCCATTTCAGCAAGGACTATATGTGTGTGGCCACTAACCCCAGTTCATGTTGCTTTGCATTCGTATATACACTCCTAAGCCCTTGTCTCATTGATGCTGGCTCCTGCATCAGGATGGGAACACCCTACGAGGCACTGCAAGGATGGGGCCACAGGGTGATTCCTGGGACTGTGGGCTAGGCTCTGAACCTGGTCCCAAACCTCAGAGCTATCTCATGCAGGTAGGCAGGGTCTTTCCATGAGGGTCCCAGAAAAAACAGTCCTGGGCACTGGCTCCAACATAGACATACAAAAAAAAACTGGGCAACGCTCAGTCTCAGTTTCTATATCCAAAACTACGTGAACATTTATTGTAAATATTGACTTAAAGAGGAAATGTGGGGTTCTGGTGGCAGCATAATGTGGAATACAACCAGAGGTAATAATGATAATGACAAAAGCATCAGGCATACGATGGATGGAGAACTGGTTATGCATCTGGTGCTGTAAGTGAATTTTATGCATTATTTCATGTTTATTTTCCCCATTTTATACATAGGGATACTGAAGCTCAGTGAGATTAGCAACTCCTCAAAGGTCACATCTTAAGTAGTAGAAAAGCTGAGCTATGAACTTTGTCTCTCCAACAGCAGAGGCTGAGCTGTCAGTCATTCTTCTCGATGTAATATCCACGATGGTTATTTATTTTGGGTAATTTAACAAAAGTAGCATTTGAAATGGGAACGTGTGGAATTATAATTTAAGATGGAGCCATAAAATTTGCATATCATATCAGTGTGTGCGTGTGCGTGTGCGTGTGCGTGTGTGTGTGTGTTTGCATGTGGGGTGTAGTGACAAGAGGATAGGATTCGAGTTAACTGGCTCTAAGCTTATATTCCAGTCCCGATACTTACTGGCTGTATATCTTGAGACAAGTTACTTATCCTGTCTGGGAGGTTTCCTTATTCTTAAAGTGGGAAACACAATAATGCTTTTATAAAATTGCAGAGATGTGAGACACTGTTTAGAATAGTAATAGCTAAGACAGATCGCACTTCTTATGTGCCACGTGCTGTTCTAAAGCACTACACATACATCAAGTCATTTCATCCTCATAAAAACCTTATCGGTAGATAGTACTGTAATGCTCATTTTATAGACAGGGAAAGTGAGGCACAGAGGGGTTAATAACTTGCCGACGTCACACAGCCAATAAGTAAGTGGTGGGGTGCTTTTAACCACCAGGCTGTGAAATGCCTTGTGTAGCAGCATGCTGAAAATGCCTAACTCATGTTAGCTATCATTATTACGTAAGACAGTGATATTCAAGCTAGTATTTTAAACTAGCACGGCCCTTTCATTGAAAATAACTTTTGGAAGTCTTACTAGATCCATAATATAGTGAAGGTGGAGCTGCTTTGCTTGAAATAAGCATGCATCCCCACCCATCTCATGCATAGCAGCCCTAAGTTAGTTCTGGAGAGGCTGGGGTCCTGAACAACCCAGTTTAAAACCACCAATCCCAGCTTTGTATTCTTTGTGTCTATATATCTACTTTCTCCTCTTTTCTGGTTGGCTCTACCTCAAGCCCAGGACTCATCATCTGGAAAACCAGAGACCAGAATCTTTTCCCAGGGCGCCTCTCACGCTCCTGCTTTTCTTCCACATCTTTGGTGGCTGGGTCTCTGCGTAATCTGCTGGGACATCACAGGCAGCCACTGGGAGGGCTGAGCTCGAGACTCACCAGTTTTATCAGAGTTGCAGAGGATAGTCTCCTTCTCAGCCCGCACGCCAGGGCTGGGGCCGTGTTTCATCCACATGGTGATGGTGAACTGGTCCGTCAAGTTCTTGGGCACAATCCCATCAGGGATCTTGGCACCCTGCCTGCCATCAAACTTGAAGATCATCTCGCTGCTGTCCACCAGCAGTCCTGTAGTCCAGTTGGTGGCAGCGCTGGGGGACGGCAAGAGGTCAATGATGCCAGAGGATGCTCCTGCAGGGGCCGGGGGACAGAAAGAACAAAGGGTCATTCTCATTAGGTGGGTGGCCTCACCTTCTGTTTTCTGCTCCTGGGTCAGAATGAACTACAGTTAACCCTTGAACAACATGGATTTGAACTGTGTGGTCCACTTACACATGGATTTTTTTCCAACAAATGCTGTAAATGTATTTTCTCTTCCTTATGATTTTCTAAATAATATTTTCTTTTCCCTAGCTTATATTACTGTAAGAGTACAATATATTATATATAAAATACAAAATATGTATTAATCGACTGTTTATGTTATTGGCAAGGCTTCCTGTCAATAGTAGGCGATTAGTAGTTAAGTTTTTGGGGAGTCAAAATTTACACTTGGTTTTTGACTGGACAAGTGGTTGGTACCCCTAACTCTCACATTGTTCAAGGATCAGCTGTACTTAATGTACTTATTCAGAGGTCTGTGCCCAGCACTGAGCTAGGTGACTCGGGAATAGAATGGCCAAATACCATCTCTGCTCCTGCAATGCTTATGGTCTGTGTGGGGAGGCATCACTAACTTAGAGACAAAAGCATTGCCCATGGCAAGACAGAGTGCAATTAACTATTATATAAGGAAAAAGTGTTGGAGGAATTCAGGGAAGCAAAGCTCCCTGGGGGCTTTCGTAAGCAGGCAAGGTTTATTGTCAGTGCCGAGCCCCCTGCTAGGTGCTGGTGATGTAAGGAGAATCAGCACAGTCCCTGACCTGGAGGAGCTCAGAACCAACAAGTTGGCAGACAACTGTGACACAGTGTGATCAGGGCTATGATTGGGGAAAGTTTTAGGTCCTGATCCCTTGGGGAGCGTGGGCCACTTTGTACTCAACACGCATTTTCTTTTCTTTTTTTTTTTTTTACGACCATTTTAGGCCAAATGGTACAGTGGTTGAGTTCTAAAGTCAGCAAAACGCATTTGATGCCTGGCAGTATGACTTGTGGCCTTGCGACTATGAGCAAGTCACTTAACCTTTCCGACATTCTACCTCCTTCCATCGTATCTCCCCTCCCCAGGATGTTGTGAGGACTGAATGAGACATTGCGGTGGAGCTTACAGCAGCATGCTTGCCACAAGGTGAATGCTCACTCCACGTTAGCTATAAGTTTATCATTATTATTATAATCATTATTACTTCTGCTGCCACTAGGATCCCAGTCTAACGCTTGAGGACTTAACCTGAATTGGTGGGAGTGTCATGGGCTCATTTATGTCCTAGGAGAATCCCACTGACAGCTTACGGAGGGTGAAGCTGTAGTGAGTGGGAGGGGCTGGCCCTGCAGAGACTAGATGTCCCAGCTGGGAGAATGCTTGGGTCTCCACTGACTTCCCAGTGAGGCTCAAATGCTGCCAGCAGAGTTCTCTGCATCCTTATGTTCCACACAGGAGTAAGGCTCAGCCACTCAGGAAGGAGGAGGGCCAGGGGCTTCCTGATACTGTAAGAGAATAACAGCTGGAGAGGCTAAGATTTGTCCAGTGTGGGGGACCACAGGTGTGGGGGCTGTTTCTTGACATGGCACTGACCATCAGTTATAACTGTTGATGGATTTGAAGGACAGTGGTTGGGTGTATTACCTGCCATTTCTCAGGGATCATTGGACTTCTGAATTCTGTATATCAGAGCCTCATCTCACTTAGATATTGGATTCCAAAGTGAGCCACCACAAACATCTCCCATAGTTAAAATGACCTTTGAAAATCCCTCAGGGAAGTGCCATATCGTGAACCAATATACTTGTTTGAAAATGTTCAACTCAGCCAGTTTTCCCTCCAGCCCTGGAACAGATTATTGGGTCTAGGGTTGAGGCACCCATTGGCTGGCAATTGAAAGTTATGTTATGTGAAAAATATGTGTCCTTGGAGCCAGATGCTCTGTTTAGCACTGTGAGAGGCTCAGCCCGGAGAGGCTTTCAGGAACGGCAGGATCTGAGAGGGTAGGAAAGTTCAGTCTCCCAGTTCGTGATCACTTTATAGCTTATGCTTATCAAGGCCAAGTTTGGGCAGCGTTGACTGCATTATTTACATGAGTATTTCTGAGAGGTTTTAGTTAGTACCATGTCTGACATACCATAAACGCTCCGTTAATGTGTATAACTACCTTTCCTCCCATCCAGTGACTCCATGAGATGCTTCTGGCCATCTACCCGATGCTCATGTGAACCTGCCCATCTGGCCTCTTGTCCATGTCCCACACCTTTGATCAATATTTACTCATTCTCATCAGGTGCCCCTCGAGCCTCATTTGCTATCTATTTTACTCATCTGGTAAGTTAATTCACACTAACGTTTTAGTGACTAACAAAGCCATTATTGCCCTCCATAGATATTTGAATGAAAGAAACCTACTAAGGTGGTAGCTAGTAGAAATTTAGGGGTGGTTTGGGAGTGGGAGATACATGGTCTTTTGGAACAAGTTCATTTACCAATGTTAGGTAGCTAGTCAGACATAAGCAACGGGAGAACAAAGGGATAGGGGCTCAGCCTAGAGACCGGCCAAAGAACACCCCAATGGTAGTAGAATTCTGGGTATGCACATGCGCACTAGGCAAAGAGTTATATAGGAGACAGGTGTCGACCAAAATGACCTCACTTGTCAATCACGTAGGAATGCCTTTGGAACCACGCATCACAGCCCAAATATAAGGTAGACATTCCCACTTCTGGCCCTTTTTGCTCTCTTATTGTAGTAGTTGTTATTACAGTGCTCCGTTGCAGCTCTCATCACCAAGACCATGTGCCTCTTAGGGCATACTTTGTCTTTCTAAAATATACTTTTAATAAAACAATTAAATCTCAATGACCTGTAATTCTTCCCTGCTTCATTTGAGAAAGAACTGAGGGGAAAATGCTAACTACATTTCTGTGCCGCTGTTATCCCTCTCCCTCTCCCCTGCTGTTGGGGTGACACCGAACTCCGATCAGTTCCAACGGTGACACTTAGGACCCCCAGAATAATGCAACATGGCAACTGCTTCGCTGATCCATAATTAAGTTGGCTCTGACACCAGGATTTGCCCAGCATGAAGACACCCTGGTGACTGGGGCACACACAGAGTGTGTCAGTTCTTGAAACTTCAGGTGGCCAGAGAGATGCAGGCTGGGCACTCAGGACTCCTAACTGCTAGCGGAAGCCAATGCAGCCAGTGCCATCTAGCAGGGCCTAGTGCGGAGGTGTGTGGGCGGGCCTCCACACAGTGGGACCAAGGTGGGGTTCGTCAAGGCTCAAAACTCAACAACTTGAGTTTCCTTTTTGGCTAAGGATCTTGCTGTTGTTAAAAAGCAAATGTCCCTGTGTAGAATTCACACTGCAATTAGCACCTTAGACTAGCAAAGGGCTGTTTGTAATTTCTCCTAAAACAGGTTTGGATAGAGGGAGAGAAGTGTAATGCAAGTATGAATGTGGGGTGAGGTGGGGGTAGGTGGAGGTGGCGGCGTGAAAAGTGGGGTGGGTGGTGTGGGGAGACTGAAAGGCAAAATTGGTTGCATTCGCCAAAGGCCAGCCCTGGTCAGGATTATTCTATACATATATCCTATATGTGTGGAACTTTGTTTTTCATAGTTATAGATCTTTATTATTATTTTCCTAGAGACTTTTTTTTGGGGGGGGGCACTGAGTACCAGAACTGAATTAAGCACTTGAATGCTTTTTCTTAGTTACTCAGCTATGTGGCAAATATTATGATTCTAGTTCGCAGATAAGAAACCTGAGGCTCGGTGACTCCCAGGTTTACAGCCAGCTAGTGAGGAGACTCCCAGGTTTACAGCCACCTTAATGAACCTGGAGAGGGATCTTGTAACTTCCTGTACATTTTACAAACATGGAAACTGAGGCCCAGGGAAACAACTTGACCAAGATCACACAGCCACACAGCCAGCTAGAGGCAGGCCCAGCTCTCAGACACCTACTAATGTTCTTCCTGTTGCACAGTATAGTGTCCTACCAAGCTCAGCCCAGTCCCTTGGGGGCACCTCCCTCCACAGGTGGCTGTCCACAGAAAGGCATTTTGAAGACAGTATACGCTTTTGCAAGGCCATAGACGCAGTGCTCCCTTGCCTTCCCTGGTGAGGGGAGCAGCAGGCCACCCTGCCTAATCCACAGATGCTGCCTGCTGGAAACCATCAAGCTGCATTTAGCCAGATGGGCAGATTTCCACAAACAGCTTGTATTTCATTTCTAAGTGCACTTAAACAAACAGAGAAATTTGCTTTCTCCCAAAGTTCTTCTCTCTCTCTTCTCCCTATGGGACTCCAGAGAGAGTAGTGAGTAAACAGATACATCATTCGTTAAGATAGCATGGCATTGTCTGCACATTAGTGTATTTAAGATGCTCTTTGGGACTCCTCCATGAAGGTCTCAAACTGCTGAGTGGTCACACTGCTCTGGGGCACAGCAACTGCAGCTTGAGCATGGGGGACTAGGACTCAGATGTGGGTCTGATTTAAGGTCTTTGAGTCCTCCCAGGGTAGGGAAGCCTCTCTGAGCTATCAAGTAGTTAAAGATGGGGCGAATGAGGCAGATTTCAGGGCACATTGTGCTGTGAGAACCCAAATGAGCTTGGAGGCAGTGGTCACTGTCTGGACTTCTTAATGGCAGGGTTTGCGTTCTGCTCTGGATGGTCTTGGTTTGGGCAGAGTGTCTTTAGGACTGCAAGATGGGCCGGTGGCTATGGTGATTGACATGCCTCCTCATGATCCACCACAGCACAGGAAGGGATGGAGATAAGCAAGAGGGTCTCAGAGGAGAGGAACGATTATAGACAAGGAGAGTCGCCTCATTCTGTAGAGTAGTCTCAAGATTGGCAATATTGACTCCATATTATTTTAAAAACATTTATGTGATGTCTAAGTTATGCCAGGCGCTGTGGTGAGGACGCAGCAATGAACCACACAGAAATTCCTTTAGGAAGCTAATAAGAAGTCCTCTATTTTTGGTGGGTGGAGCCGTTCAGTGGTAGCGAGTCTCAGGGGAAGCAGGGAGGCC